AGTGCAACCAGGGTCAATGGACCATTGACGAGTTTGTATGTAAGCGGGATAAATTAATGCTTTCGATGAAGAACATTCTGAACATAAAGCGATAGGTAATACTCTGATGAATTTAAAAACACCAGGTTATAGAGCCGTAGAAAGAACCACACAATACAAGAGTAGAAAGCACTGCGTCATGTTAGTGTAAAAATAGCATCGCACTATATAACATGAGCTCAGAAAGCGCTATATAACATAAGCATAGAACCAATAGTAACATGAGCGGAGACTGCACTGTGTAATAAAAAACAGAGAAAGTATCTCGTAAGATAATCACAAGAAGAAACACGTGGTACAAGCGAAAAAACCCATCATGTTACATAAACATTAAATTCTAGGTAACATAAGCGGAGATAACACATTTATACCTAGTGTTGTTATTGGCTACTTAATTGCACCTGAATATGAGGGTAAACGCTTAAAATATAACAATTCTTGACATAATGTATAAGACTCACATTGATGATGTAAAGTGATGTTATGAAGTTACACGAGGATATATGGAGTGTATGAACGGTGATGTTAAACAAGGTTGCGGCGTAGGCAACTTCACTCATCATTTACCGTTAACAAGATGCACTCTGTCATAAACTCTGAAAAGGTACAGCTATATTCACATACAATTGTTTTACTTAAATTATAACTTAAAAACTTCTTCATGGATTCTTTTCCAATGGGGGTACAGTTTCTATATGAATAAGAGAGGTGCAGTGCGAAGTTTTCAATAATTGGATATTCTGAAGAAATACAACTATTTTTAACTTAGATTGTTTTTACCGAAACATTTGTGCGACCTATAACTGAAAATCTACTTCATGGATTCTTTTCCAGTTGGAGGTATATAGTCTATACCAATAGGAGTGGTGCAGTGACAAGTTTCATTTCGATAAGCGGATTTTCCGAGAAATATTGCTTGTTCCATGTTTTGAACTTATATGTTGGAGTCGAGTCGGGGGTATTCGTGAGCAATGCTCACTTTTTGTCTAATTCGAAATAGTATCAGGAATCTTCGGGGGAGCTATATGGTTCAACCTTGGTTGTTGCAGGTAGCAAAAACGTGGCGCTACACAAAAAAACACATCAGAGCTCTGTCTTTCGGGGGTGGGTATCGCGAAAAGCTGTTGACGGAAGAAGGAACTCGACTATAAGAGGAGCATGCTCACATACTGCTCTTGAGAGCAAGACCCTCCCATGGTGGGTGGTGGACCTCAACGACATCTTCCACATCAACTACATCAGCATTTTGAACAGGGAAGACTGCTGCTGTAAATATTATTTTTGATATTATTCCCGTTGTTAGGCATAACTACAATACGACACGGGTCATGGCGAACATTTGTCACTGGTCAGAAGGTCGTTATTGGCAAATATAAATGATGACATTGGTATTTATAAGCGAAGAGGAACATTATCTTTCATAACTGGACAGGGATTGACTGTGTAATAAAGGGATACTATTAGTCACGCAATATAATATATTTTCGAATATATTTGAAACACATAGGACACTTCACATCAACAAGCAGATTGGTACTACGATTTGATACTAAATTCATTTTGACCGTGTATTGTGGTGTGGAGTACGTGTTGATAACGTACGTACAATGAGGTCTATTTGAGAAAATCTTGTCTCTTTGACAGGGCAGCGACTGTCCAACTTTACCGTGTCCCTTGGCAACACCACTAGAGTCGGCCTTGTCCACTACAAGCTCTGTCTCTTCCATCCAGGCTGGTTCAGAGGAGAGAAGATCTTATCATGTGACCAATGGACACGTGGCCGATATCTGAGGATCGAGTTACCACATGCAAAACCACTATCACTTTGCGAAGTCGAAGTGTTTCCATTGAATCATTAGACGCGTTCAGTCGTTGCTCGTCCTACCATCGTGCCGATTTTTTTTCATTCTACCAATACGTCACCTGCTGGACCAGATGAATAACCATGCTAAAGGTTTCACTGGGGCAAATGTTCTCCAGAAAAGATATTTGAGCACTAGTGACGCGGTGACGATGACGTGACCACTATCCACTCTCGCTCCGTTATGGCGGCGTCGTAGCCTAGTTGGTAAAGCGCTCTCTCTTCACGCCGAATCCCCGGGTTCGATTCCCTTCATGGGTATAACGTGTTAAGACCATTTTTCTGTGTCCCCTGGCGTAATATGCCGGCCTTCTATGCACCGTTCTATATACAACCATCACCACAGATGCATGTGGATCTAGGATTGTGTTTGAGTGTAGAAATGATGATGATATTGAGGGACACATTCAATAGTTCCCTGAGATTAAGCTAAACTGTATACTATAAGCACTTTATGTTCTGAGTTCGCTGCGGTAGTTGATGTATACAGGAAACTGCCTGTAAATAAAATCGACAAAATCCTTTACATATTCATAAGAAATCTCTGCTGACACAGTCCACTGTACCACTATATCATCAGCATGTGTTTATGAATAACTATCAAATAGTTACGACACCAGGTGTTCGCAAAAACGGTCAGCGTATCCCCCTTCACCGGAGACGCTCAAAACAAAACATATGCAAATGCATGTCAACTGTTCACCTGACAAAGAACACTAGAACATATGGTAAGTCAAAATAGGGAAATGCATCAGACAAATTTGAAACTGTTCTCCACATGTCTACCATAACACGTTTTGAAAGCTTCACTGAGGCCTTGAATGTAATAACCGTCGGCGCGGGGGAGGCTCTTTGAAATATTGGTAGAAAAAGCATGTTCGATTGTACCTCAAATGTTGTGAAACACAACACCAAATATTCGAGCTGATAGAGTTTTGCTCGACATAAAGGTGAAATTTACTTTTGGAAAGTTGAAGTCATCCTTCTTGTAAATAGGAAACAGATGAGGCAGTTTCACTGGTTCGGGTGGGTAAATCAGCGGAAGGAATGGCTATTTGACCGTTATTGAACGATATGAGATCATCTATATACCTGAAACTTGGCCAGATTACCTTGTTTTGACTTTGGCAATCCGAGCAGAAAGTCCGATTCATATGCATGAAAAAAACAGAACAGTAAGAAGCGGAGCACACTTGGTGCCCATGAGGATGCCTACTTCTTGCCAAAATGTCTGACTCATGACCTCACATAGATGTTATCAATGAGGCCCAGAATTTCGCATATTGTTTTTCAGTAAACTTCAGATGATATTTGCTTTCATTTTTGACAAATTGTCCCGAATCTCTGAAGATAGATATCTAAATATATCTATGGTCACCACATTTCATAACACATGTCCCACCAGTGACCATATCGGTGTATGGTCTCTGGTCCCGCTGATCAAAGAAAGATGTTTTTCCTTAACTTTGTCATGTGGGATTGTGGTGTTCAAAGGTGAAAACATATATTTGGACAGAACTGAACTGGGCTCCTTTCCAAGACTGCAACAATTCAAGCAAATTGTTGGAGATTTTGGATATCCATATGGTGTTAATTCCAAGAATGGAAGAATGTCATCCATGTAACGCTGAGCTGTCAAATTCTGTTACCGATGACGAGCGGTGTTCTCTCCTGCTCACAAAGTCCTTCCCACACTATAAGACCCCCTCCACCATACGGCACGACCTCCTGACCCTCCTGTCAATGTTAGGGAGCTGGACTCGACCTTAATGTTGATAAATAAGATGTTATTTTATATTATAGGGAGTATTCATTCACTTTATATTTGCACATACGTGGGCCATCGACCCATGGTACAATCTTGGGCCAGATGCAATATAATATATAAGCATACAGAGGTATACAGAGTGTTGGCATAGGTCCCTGTCTTTCATAATTACTGCAAATAAGACATTCTCAGGCGCATAGCATGGTATATGAATACAGCGACATTTCTTAAAATGCATTCTTTTGTCAAGGACATGATCATATTGACTTTTTGGAGGGTAGGATAGACATAATAGTTTAAAGGTATATACTGTTTAGGCAAGTTATCATACGTCTGACAAACTAATATATTAATATGATGGTCGTTCTCAATGTAAACCTGTTTACAAACGTGGCATAATCTTTGGTCTCTTGGTGTTTTGTAATATCTTCCCGTTTCTGCATGAAGACTATGAGAGGTACAGTGAAACTGAGCTAATGCACATCGAAATATATCAACAGATTTAGCTATTTGTTAAAGAAGAATGCCAGTCTTGCACATATGAAAACTGTAAACGTGAAACAAATGCGTCTCGAAACAAACTTCTTGTTTTCCCCATACACACACAAACATTAAACTGCATATGATAACATTTTCTAGGATATCTACTTTCAGGCATTTTCAATAATTTACACCAATAACTAAGACATGGTTTAAAAACCTGTATATATAATGGATATCTCCCACATTCTCCCCTTACATTAAGATCTGGTGTTGAAGCCTTACACCCCCCCCCCCCCCCACCCCCCCACCCCACCCCCCCCACCCACCCACCCCCCCCAAAAAAACAACAACAACAAAAAAACCCACAAAAAACACCAACAAAAAAAACCAAAAAACCAAAACAAACCAACCAAAAAAACAACAACAAAAAACAAAAGCAAAACAAAACAAACAAAAACGCTTACATGCTAATAGATGTACAGATTTAATTGGCTTATACATGTAAATATCAATATATTCCCGACATGGGTACAATGTGTTAAGCCCATTTCTGGTGTCCCCCGCCGTGATATTGCTGGAATATTGCTAAAAGCGGCGTAATACCATACTCACTCATCGGCGAAAAGAATGATAATATCTTGCTGAAGTTAAGTTCCTTGTTCACAGTCTGTTTCTATTTATTTAGCATGTAGAGTAGTAAGAGCTCACTCGTATGACACAGTACATACATTTATCAGATGATAAATGTTTTGTTGCAACAAAACGTGAATGACCACCATGCACGGATCCAAGGTGGGGGTGCAAGGTGCGCACCCCACTTGTTGATTACACTGCAAGTCATCTGTAGTTTCAGAAGCTCTCTGCTTGCGTGCTTGGGGCGACCTCGAGAAGCAACTGTACATACATCTCAAACCTTTCTGAAAATAATAAAACCATTAACTTTTGTTACAAATATTATTACAGCATTAGGGGACCAAGGTAAGACTGATGTAATCTTGCATGATACACGTATTTGTCATTGCAGCTTAACCTGCGTGTGATAATTCATTGACAAGCCTGGATAAGCGGGATGTTCTACACAATAATGACATGGGGTCCAACATGTTATACTTGTCTCCTCCATCCAGAGAAAAATAAACTACCGGGAAAAAGAAAGTATGCACCCATGTCTGTTTGATGGTGGCTAAAAATAAAACAAACATGTCTGTTTGATGGTGGCCAAAAATGACACAAACAAGAAATGGTCATTCGATGGTGATGTATTGGAAACGGGTATTGCAGTCGTATTTTTGGACCTTAAGTTTGGAGTGTTTCGGCGACTGTTTTCAACCTAGTAAAGTAACGTTTTGGTCAAATCCAATTTTCAAGTGCATTAGTTCTTTTGCCCAGAAGTTCATGGTTTCTTCTCTGTGTTCTATGCTGTTGTTGAAGCTACCACTCCCTTGTCTTTGTGAACGTAATACTAACCCAATAAATTATTCATTATCATTTAAGATGGTGTTGCCATCTCAATGGCATAGAATGGTGATCATTCGTTATAAAGATAATGTGACAAGGATGTATAGTTAAAAGCAGCTCCAGGGATGCCGTATCATTTCGGGAACATATTACCATCCTTCATAATACATACCAAGCCACTTTGGTTTCAAGTTGAAGTGGATAAGAGGGAAACACACGATGACACCGCTGACGAGAAACATGGTGGCATACAGCAACTCAATTTGTGGATTCTGTACAATCGGAGCGACAACGAGGAACAAGCACCACAGCATGAAGATGATGGGTATGATGATTGGCACCTGAAAGTGAGTGAGTGAGTAGGTGAGTGAGTGAGTGAGTGAGTGAGTGAGTGAGTGAATGAATGAATGAATGAATGGGTGAGTGAGTGAGTGAGTGAGTGAGTGAGTGAATGAGTGAGTGAGTGAGTGAGTGAGTGAGTGAGTGAGTGAGTGAGTGAGTGAGTGAGTGAGTGAGTGAGTGAGTGAATGAATGAATGAATGGGTGAGTGAGTGAGTGAGTGAGTGAGTGAGTGAGTGAATGAATGAATGAATGAATGAATGAATGAATGAATGAATGAATGAATGAATGAATGGGTGAGTGAGTGAGTGAGTGAGTGCGATAGTCGTGTTTATTTTGGATGCATTCAAATCTTGAAGATATTCGTGTTTTCTGTACATGCATTCAAATTGTAAAAATCTGATATCGTTTAATGACGATCAAATACCAATTCATTTTCTCTGATTTACCTAATTGAACTAGAAATAAAAAAGAGCCGTGTGGCCTCCTCATCAGTTTCCTATTTATATCTGTGCATAAAGATTTAGAGTGATAAACCACTGTCCCCAAGGCTGTATGACAAGAGGGGTGGTTTCCAATTTCCAATAGCCACCTTTCCCTTTATGTTGTGAAATATTCCAGTAACTCCAGTCTTTGCTGTCTTAATTTCACGTTTGAGGTACAATCGAGAATGCTCTTACTACCAAGGTTTCATAGAGCGTCATACGACTCTCGCTCAGAAGTTGTTTGATCAAGGTCGTTCATATGACGTCATCGTTCGAATTCAATCAATCTATATTTCTAAATAGTGAGAGGGCCATAGGCATATTGTACATGTTTACAAAGGAGTTGCGGGCACATTTATATAATATAATATACATCAATAGCCATGACAACTGTTAAATTAGTGGTTGAATAAGCTCATGCTTTCTAACATTCATGACATGGAAAATGAACATTTCTGACAATTTTTTAATTAGTCTGCATTAGTCAGTAAAACTTACACAAGTGGTGATCCTTGAATAAAATAATCATGAATGAATTGGTTTCTGATGTCAACATAAAACGAACAAACAAATAAAAAGTGATATTCATCTTCTATATTATTAAAACTACACAGTTGACAGATTATGCCTTCTCTTTAAATTCTGCAGTGTCAATCTGATTCAATAGGGAGATCGTGAGAGTTCCAGCTTAATAGAACTAACGCCACTCGGACTTTCTATAAATCTATTTCAAACAAATCGTGCTGTCTAGTTATGTTTGTGTTGATATCCGACAAGTGATTTAATTTATTGGACAAAGGTAGAGTAGATAACCATTGTCTGAAGTACATGTCTTTTACAGAACAGAACAGAACAGAAGTTTATTCAATATTTGAGGCCATATGACCTATAGTACAGTAGTGTTTGTTTTTTGTATCAACATTGTACAGTCACGTGTAGGTAATAATAAGTTTACATAAAATATTAACGTCTAATTTCAAAAATCTTCTTCAGGAATATTGACAGAGATGATATTGTATTTGCATTGCAGGAGTTCAACAAATTTCTCATCAGTTGTTCATCTTTGTACATAGTTGAAATCATAGGGAGGTATCTATTTCTAAGAAACTGATAATATTTACAAATGAGAAGTACATGAAACTCATCCTCAACATAGCCTTCATTACAATAACGGCATAAACTACTTTCTTTATCTTGTACATTTTTCTTTCTGAGATTGTTAACATTAAAATTATGTAATGATATACGTAATTTACACAAAGATCTTCTCAAAGTTCTATCCTGAAGTACAGATACATATTTTTCAGGAACAAGTAAAGATTTTATATTCGTATAATGGCATAAAAACCTTGAGGATGATATTTGACAGTGCCAATCTTGTGAAAATATATCAACTAATCTTTCCTTAAGCATGAAGATAAATAGTTTATCATTTCCAACATCTTGAGATATCCATGTCTTTTGAAGTCTTTGCGAAGTCAATAATAAAATCGCTCTGGCATATTTACATTTATTAACTCCACATAAACCCATACCCAGTTGAATTAATTCCCTGTTCAACACACCAAGCCTAGTTAGGTTTACCTGGCGATCGTAGAGTAACTTCATATTGTAACATTTCTTTGGAAATCTTGAATTTGGCGCCTGCAGCTATTTTAGCCAGTATTTGATAACCTTTATATGAGCGTCTCTGTAAAACAGACATCTTCCACATTCACCATGTACCGCAACATTTGGAGTGCTAGGTTTAATACCGAGAAAGCATGAAAATGAATCTTATCAACATCATCTATATTTCTGAATCCCCACATTTTGGCTGCATTTATCAAAATTTTAGCGTAAAAGATTTTGAAAAATGCCAATTAAAATTTTCATAGCAAACAAAAGATGAAATAACGTTACTCTTTCAGGGCGTATCTGTATACCATTTATACAATGTGCATTGGTTTGCTCTGCTAATTCATTTATAAAGAAAGAAAAGAGAAAAGGTCTTAAAATACATCCTTGGCGAACACCAATATTACAAGGAAACGTATGTGATACAGTATTGTTTTTACGCACACAAACCTATACTTTACGGTAGATAAGGCACAATATTTTCCCCATTCGTTTGAAATAGCTTCCTGGGTTTATCTCTTTGAGTCAAATGCTTTCGCAAAATCTACAAATAAGGCATATAATTTGCTACCCTTTGTTGTTAGATATCTTTGTATGATTGACTGTAAAATCAATGACCCGGGGGATACTCTCGTGAGTGAATGATATATTGATTCAATGACACGTAGGCTATCCTCTTGAGTGAATGGTGTAATAATTCAATTTACCTCCTTAAAAAAATAATGCAATGATTCAATGACACGAAGGCTATCCTCGTGAATAAAATCTTGAGAGTGAATTAATGTAATGATTCAATGACCCGTTAGCATTCCAATGTACTGAATGTATTAAATAAAAATGTTAAATGGTGAGAATTTGAAGAAACCATGTGGATTTTGGTGACTGATATTAAATAAAAAACATTTCCGGTTTCAGTGAAAGTATTTAGCTGCAGAGGTACATCCTCGCCTCTTTCCGTAACGGGCATAACGGAATGACACGAGTGGTCACGGAAAGGACAATTTGGGAATCAAAAGATGTATCGTGAACGTCCTGAAAGTAATATGCCAGTGACACAAGTTCCATATTTTACATGAAGTAGTCTCCATAGTCAAAATCATCATCACCATAGACTATAATGCCACTTAGGCGGTGAGAAATTAAATGTCGTGCAACTTCCTGTGTTTCCTCTGGTATTTTACGAGCGCTTCTAGTAGGAAAACTCCATTGTCAACCATGAAGCGGCAATGACTGTGCCAACGTGTCGAGATTGAAAGCAGACACAAATGAGACTCCATTGTAAACCTACTGTCACTTTTGCCTATTGTATTGTAGGTATATTTGTATCTCGTAATAACCTCCTGGTATAAGCTGTTACTTTTCGGAAGTAAGACCTGATGATTTGAGTAGCAGACAGAATTTGGACATCAAACGTCCAATGTTCTAATATCGAGGACAGGAAATGAAACTTTTTCATTATGGTTGACAGGGATCGAACCTGCAACCTTACATATCGTGTTAACTTTTGTAATCCACGTTTTTTTCCACTGAGCTACCGGGGTAGGTGATGAAAGTTTAATTTTAGATGTCATGACTTAGTTTTTTCTATGCTGGTCGTGTTTCTTTCTCTCGCACGCTTTGATCGTATTCCTTTTATAACGGGACACACTGTATTGTTTCACTATCATATATCTCGATGTTTTCTTATTTTCTTCTGTTATTTCTTCCATTTAGACGGTTTATAAGTGAGATAAATCACTCCCCCGCTGTTAGACCTTAGGCAGTAAGACCTTGGCAATCGGGTATCGGCTCCTCCGCGAAGCTCCTTGGTCTTACATCGCCGATACCCGATTGCCGAGATCTTACTTCCTCGAACATAACCTCGGAGTCGTGCTTTATCCTTCACGTATATACTTTTCTTGCTGTTGATTCCACGATAAGAGTTAAAAACCTCCATCTTTCAGTGCCGCTGTCGCTTCTGTGTGAAAATCATTCCCTCTCACAATGAGCGCCAACGCTTCAGTCGTTTTAATCAGGGTTTAAAACACACATCTCCCACCACTATTCCCATTGACTCAGTTCTGGTCGGGGGGCACGGGTGGCCCAGTCGTCCAGTGCACCGCGATTCGCTGTGTATAGTTGCGTCCCTTGCGGAACGCCAGAAACCTGTGATTGAGGGTTCGAATCCCGGTTTGCCCCGATTATGTTTCTAGGTTTGTCAGCACCATACCCGTGCTCGTGGGTTTCACCAAAGTGGTAAACGTCTCAGATCTGCATCACTTCGGGCTTTCCTCCCACATTAAGCTGACACGCCGTGTTATAACTGGAATACTGTTAAAAGCGACGTTAAACCCAACTCACTCACTCACTCACTATTTACAGACCACGGTCATATTGGTGGAATATAGCCAAGTAAGCTTGTACAGACACAGTGTTTGCCTCAGAGTAATTCGCTGTTCTGTTTAGTGGTGACATGTAATATGCTTTTATATACAGTAAGTGAGTGAGCGTCGTTAAACCAAACTCACTCACTCACTCAGTTCTGGTTGTTAAGCACTTTTAGAATAGCAATCAACTGCACCAATTAAAGCCCTTATGCACCAAACAGACCTGAACCTGTATCGCCTTCACCAAACAGACCTCACCTGCACCACATATACCTCACCTCCACTAAACAGAGCTCACCTGTATCACCTGTACCACACAGACCTCACTTGTATCACCTGTACCACACAGACTTCACCTGTATCACCTGTACCACACAGACCTCACCTGTACCACACAGACCTCACCTGTACCACACAGACCTCCCCTGTACCACACAGACATCACCTGTACCACACGGACCTCCCCTCTACCACACAGACCTCCCCTGTACCACACAGACATCACCTGTACCACACAGACATCACCTGTACCACACAGACATCACCTGTACCACACAGACCTCACCTGTATCACCTGTACCACACAGACCTCGCCTGTACCACACAGACATCACCTGTACCACACAGACATCACCTGCACCACACAGACATCACCTGTACCACACAGACCTCACTTGCATCACCTGTATCACACAGACCTAACCTGTTTCACCTGCACCACACAGACATCACATGTACCACACAGACCTCCCCTGTACCACACAGACATCACCTGTACCACATATACCTCCCCTGTACCACACAGACCTCCCCTGTACCACACAGACAACACCTGTACGACACAGACCTCACCTGTACCACACAGACATCACCTGTACCACATATACCTCCCCTGTACCACACAGACCCCACCTGTACCACACAGACCCCACCTGTACCACACAGACCCCACCTGTACCACACAGACAACACCTGTACCACACAGACCTCGCTTGTATCACTGTACCACACAGACATCACCTGTATCACCTGCACCACACAGACATCACCTGTACCACACAGACCTCCCCTGTACCACACAGACCTCACCTGTATCACCTGCACCACACAGACCTCACCTGTATCACCTGCACCACACAGACCTCACCTGTATCACCTGCACCACACAGACATCACCTGTACCACACAGACCTCCCCTGTACCACACAGACCTTACCTGTACCACACAGACTTCACCTGTATCACCTGCACCACACAGACCTTACCTGTACCACACAGACCTCACCTGCACCACACAGACCTCACCTGTACCACACAGACATCACCTGTATCACCTGCACCACACAGACCTCCCCTCTACCACACAGACCTCACCTGTACCACACGGAGCTTACCTGTACCACACATACCTCACCTGTATCACCTGTACCACACAGACCTCACCTGTACCGCACAGACCTCCCCTGTACCACACAGACCTCACCTCTACCACACAGACCTAACCTGTACCACACAGACCTCATCTGTACCACACAGACCTCATCTGTACCACACAGACCTCACCTGTACCACATAGACCTCAACTGTACCACACATACCTCACCTGTACAACACAGACCTCACCTGTATGACCTGTACCACACATACCTCACCTGTACAACACAGACCTCACCTGTACCACACAGACCTCATCTGTACCACACAGACCTCATCTGTACCACACAGACCTCAACTGTACCACACATACCTCACCTGTACCGCACATACCTCACCTGTACAACACAGACCTAACCTGTATTACACAGACCTCATCTGTACCACACAGACCTCATCTGTACCACACAGACCTCCCCTGTACCACACAGACCTCCCCTGTACCAAAGAGACCTCACCTGTATCACACAGACCTCACCTGTATGACCTGTACCACACAGACCTCCCCTGTACCACACAGACCTCCCCTGTACCACACAGACCTCACCTGTACCACACAGACCTCACCTGTATGACCTGTACCACACATACCTCATCCGTACCACACAGACCTCACCTGCACCACACAGACCTCCCCTGTACCAAAGAGACCTCCCCTGTATCACACAGACCTCACCTGTATGACCTGTACCACACAGACCTCACCTGTACCACACAGACCCCCCCCCCCCCCCCTACACCACACAGACCTCCCCTGTACCACACAGACCTCACCTGTACCAAAGAAACTTCACCTGTACCACACATACCTCACCTGTATGACCTGTACCACACAGACCTCATCTGTACCACACAGACCTCACCTGTATGACCTGTACCACAAAGACCTCATCTGTACCACACAGACCTCACCTGTACCAAAGAGACCTCAACTGTACCACACAGACCTCACCTGTACCAAAGAGACCTCACCTGTACCACACAGACCTCACCTGTACCACACAGACCTCCCCTGTACCACACAGACCTCACCTGTACCAAAGAAACTTCACCTGTACCACACATACCTCACCTGTATGACCTGTACCACACAGACCTCATCTGTACCACACAGACCTCACCTGTATGACCTGTACCACAAAGACCTCATCTGTACCACACAGACCTCACCTGTACCAAAGAGACCTCAACTGTACCACACAGACCTCAACTGTACCACACATACCTCACCTGTACAACACAGACCTCACCTGTATGACCTGTACCACACAGACCTCAACTGTACCACACATACCTCACCTGTACAACACAGACCTCACCTGTACCACACAAACCTCATCTGTACCACACAGACCTCATCTGTACCACACAGACCTCATCTGTACCACACAGACCTCAACTGTACCACACATACCTCACCTGTACCGCACATACCTCACCTGTACAACACATACCTCATCTGTACCACACAGACCTCATCTGTACCACACAGACCTCACCTGTACCACACAGACCTCAACTGTACCACACATACCTCACCTGTACCACACATACCTCACCTGTATGACCTGTTCCACACAGACCTCACCTGTACCACACAGACCTCAACTGTACCACACAGACCTCAACTGTACCACACAGACCTCAACTGTACCACACAGACCTCACCTGTATGACCTGTACCACACATACCTCACCTGTACCACACATACCTCACCTGTATGACCTGTACCACACAGACCTCACCTGTACCACACATACCTCACCTGTATGACCTGTACCACACATACCTCACCTGTACAACACAGACCTCACCTGTACCACACAAACCTCATCTGTACCACACAGACCTCATCTGTACCACACAGACCTCATCTGTACCACACAGACCTCATCTGTACCACACAGACCTCAACTGTACCACACATACCTCACCTGTACCGCACATACCTCACCTGTACAACACAGACCTAACCTGTACCACACAGACCTCATCTGTACCACACAGACCTCATCTGTACCACACATACCTCACCTGTACCACACAGACCTCAACTGTCCCACACATACCTCACCTGTACCACACATACCTCACCTGTATGACCTGTACCACACAGACCTCAACTGTACCACACAGACCTCAACTGTACCACACAGACCTCACATGTACCACACAGACCTCAACTGTACCACACAGACCTCAACTGTACCACACAGACCTCATCTGTACCACACAGACCTCATCTGTACCAAAGAGACTTCACCTGTTCAACACAGACCTCATCTGTACAACACAGACCTAACCTGTACCACACAGACCTCATCTGTACCACACAGACCTCAACTGTACCACACAGACCTCACCTGTACAACACAGACCTAACCTGTACGACACAGACCTCATCTGTACCACACAGACCTCACCTGTACCACACATACCTCCCCTGTACCGCACAGACCTCCCCTGTACCACACAGACCTCATCTGTACAACACAGACCTAACCTGTACCACACAGACCTCATCTGTACCACACATACCTCATCTGTACCACACAGACCTCACCTGTACCACACATACCTCATCTGTACCACACAGACCTCACCTGTACCACACATACCTCATCTGTACCACACATACCTCATCTGTACCACACATACCTCACCTGTACCACACATACCTCATCTGTACCACACATACCTCACCTGTACCGCACATACCTCACCTGTACAACACAGACCTAACCTGTACCACACAGACCTAACCTGTACCACACAGACCTCATCTGTACCGCACAGACCTCCCCTGTACCACACAGACCTCATCTGTACAACACAGACCTAACCTGTACCACACAGACCTCATCTGTACCACACATACCTCCCCTGTACCGCACATACCTCACCTGTACAACACAGACCTCACCTGTACGACACAGACCTCATCTGTACCACACAGACCTCACCTGTACCACACATACCTCACCTGTACCGCACATACCTCACCTGTACCACACAGACCTCACCTGTACCACACATACCTCACCTGTACCGCACATACCTCACCTGTACCACACATACCTCACCTGTACCACACAGACCTCACCTGTACCACACAGACCTCACCTGTACCACACATACCTCCCCTGTACCACATAGACCGCCCCTGTACCCCACAGACCTCATCTGTACCACACATACCTCATCTGTACCACACATACCTCACCTGTAGGATTCTCGCACGCCTAAGGGAAGCAACTCCCGCACAGCTCCATGGGATGAACACATTCCGTTTCCTATGTTAGAATACAGCGAGAATCTGGGGGTAGTGACGCTACTTCAGTCCGCTTGCGTGTCCAGGGCTTGTGCCGGGTGCGCACTCACCCTTTCAGCAAACACTTTACATGTTAAATGCGCCATCGGCCAAGTCAGTGAGTGAGCGAGCGAGTTGGATTTAGCGCCGCTTTTAACAGTATTCCAGTTATATCGCGGCGTGTCAGCTTAATGTGGGAGGAAAGCCCGATGCAGGTGATGCAGGTCTCAGACGTTTATCACTTCGGTGAAACCCACGAGCATGGACATGGTGCTGACAAACCGAGAAACGTAATTTGGGCGAACTGTGATTCGAACCCACGATCGTAGTTTTCTGGCGTGCCCAAGGGGAGCAACTTCGTGACTCGAGTATCATATGCACTCATCCCCCTCTCAAATCGTTGGTCTGCCTCTGCAATGTATATCACTGCTTGCCAGCTTAATATGTTGGAATGACAATAATGTCGTACACGCGTTCACCACCAACAATGGCATGGTGCTCACCAACCAGGGAGGGGGACTAGGGAGTGCCTGGTCAGACTAGTCCAGCAAATTTCAGCACATGCGGGAAAATGATTACAAAGAAACTAGGATACAATTATATACGTTTATTAAAAAAATATACAGCTAACTTACATGGAATAGTTGACAATACGATAATCACGATTTTAAGGTCTTTGTTCAGACGGCATCTGTATCGTCTTTGTTGTTAGGGTAAAGTAGTGGTGGAAGAACAAGTAGACACATAATAATAATAATAATAATAAAAATAAAAATAAAAATAATAACAATGATGATGATGATGATGATAGTAATAATGAAAAAAAAAAATAAATAAATAAAAAAATAAAATAAATAAATAATGACGATGATCATGATGATGTTGTTGACACTGATTAACTGTCATCGAAGAGAGGTGTTTGATCTGTGATGCTCGAACTGCAGGTTCGATCTGTGGTGTTCGGTCTGTGATGTTAGCTCTGCGGAGTTGGATCTGTGACGTTAGTGACCCGACCGGTAAAGAGAGCAACTCCATGACAGTGTCATTTGTCTGACTGTCGACGGATGCTCCCTTCATCGTGAGGTCTCGGTAAATCTCGGCGTATTCCGTCAGCAAACTCGATCGCATGACTCCAGACCTGAAAAAAATAACATTGGAATGGTCAGCATGTAAACGATGTCTACCTTCCTAACAGCAAAAGGAATCAGGCTGTGTCTTATCTCAACTTTCTGCCTGCTACAGTGCCAAGAGAGTGTGATCGTGAGTTCGAATCCCAGAACCATTATGATTCTTGGTGTATCAGAACCATCACCGTACTCGTGGATGTCTCCAAGTGTTAAACTTACTTAGATAAGCATTATGTTTGTTTTCCTTTATTAACCAGTAATATAACCGAAAAACTGTTCAAAGGGTTTTAATCCAAGTCACTCACTAACTTTACCCGTCTTTACACTTATTGCAAGTTGAATTTTAACACAAAACCAAACCTGCCACTTGTAGCAGGATACGGACATGTACCTAGATCCTCCTCATCGTCAACGATGAACAACGATCTGGATGGGAATGCACGTGTTCATCAATGTAAGACAACTGAATCACATCGTGTCTGCTGACATATAAGATGCGGGCAATTTATGTAAGAGATAGTCTTTGAAATTGTGACAATTACTGTTTCGTAGTTATGGCAACAATTGAAACTTCTTTAACCAACCGAGTGTTAAGTCAATTTACGTAGATTACTCCATTATCAGACAACTATATGTTATGCAAAGGTGAAGCAAGTGTCCCCCGCTCCCCCCCCCCCCCCCCCCCCCCCCACACACACACACACTAACCCCCGACAGAAATTCCTGTTTTAAATTCCCTAATTAGAAGAAACAGCTGCAACGTTGTCGAGAGTGGGCTTAGCGGCATGACGCAGCCCAGAGAAACATCATGGTCGACACTAACTTGAGGGTAAGACCAGCCCCAGTCAGTGGTGTCGGGTGCAGCATACCCGGGTATGCCACTTACAGGCAGGGTAATAATATGAGAACGTCCTTTGAAGTGTTTGCACTCCGTGAGGGAAAGAGACCGGCCACAGCGGGGTGATATATTAGATACAGGCTACCTCTGTTTACAAATGTGCTGACAATGTCAAATTTGATATACAACGGTTAACAGACTTGGGCTTTATGACGTGGTAACACCGACTACATGCCGTGTCATGCTACAAACAAGAAATAATAACGGTACTTGTAACATTAGTTATATCAGATAGGTTAAAGGTATGAATATTTACCAAGTGTCTGTTTATTCAGCGCGTTAAGTAGCAGAATAAACAACTCTACGCTGCGCAGCATACAGGACGTCGGATTAAGCCGGGTGTTAATCTGGTATTATACACCGATACACAAACTGTGTTCTGAAACAACCACAAGCTTAAACTCATAGATTTAAAAACGTTAACCTTCAAACGCACACCGAAACTAGATCGTCACGCTAATAAAGTTTTCCAATAAACTTGTTACAACCAGCGAAAAGGATTTGACAGGAAGTTACAGTTTGATGTCTCCCAGAATGTGCCTGAGTCTCTGTATCGCAGTGCCACGCTGTAAAACACTCTATTTCTACTAATAACTTCATGACAATGGGTTGGCTGTGTATAAAATGTGGCTGCTAGGCCATAAACAGTTATCACTTGATCTATAACACCGAGTCCAAATTGCCTGATGGTGGAGAACAAACAATGCATGCCAAGGCGCGATAAAATAGGTCGGGTTACACGCGAGGGGCAAGGCAGAGACCATCACCCCACACTGAATCCTCCCCCCACGTGGTGCTGGTTAAGCTCGAGGACTGTCCGGCTATCTGACTCTGTTTGTTGTGGTAATCAGCGTGAAAACCATTGTTGGAATTAAAAACCGCTGTTCGCGTCTATAGAGAACGGCATGGCCTAGTTGATGTCACCACTCACGTAGAAAGTTAAACATATCTTTGAAAAAACATAAGGACTGGTTGTGACCTAGCTGCATGACACCAATACTAGTGGTGATGATGAATTTGAAATTGAGGTAAAACATCTCTAATGCCTCTATCCGTTGAAGACGTTTACCACCAATGACTCGTCAACTGTTACATAGTAAATACATTATTTACCCACGTTGGGATTGGCAACACTGAAATAGCAATCATAATGCTTTTATGTTGATGTGACTCTCCTATAGGTGATAAGGGGATTCGACTGAGTAGTATTGTTTTACGTCGATTTCGCAATACTCCAGCAATATCACGGCGGGGGACACAGAAATGGGCTTCTCATATTGTACCCATGTGGGAATCGAACCGGGCCTCCGGCGTGACGAGCGAAGACTTAAACCATGGGGCTTCCGCCATATAATCTACAGATATATAGTACATAGACAAAGACGACAACTAGCACCTTGTTTCACCTCTTACTACTGTGCCATAGAGACATACACATAGGAACTGTATGGTGTGGTGTGTGTTAGGGGTGGTGGGGGTGGGGTGGGGGTGTACTCGTCTTCTTTGGTCATATACTGTATGCTGACACGATAATGTTAGCAATACACTTAACACCCATATATAGGAGGCTACGAAGGTGTAGTACATCGACGAGTTCCTTATAATAATGACGTGTGCGAACCAGATTGTCAACCAAGTGTGAGAAGTACCAAATTAAAAAAAAATGTACAATAGAACCTCATTAATCCAGACTTGTCGGTGTCCTTTAGAAGAAAGAAAATTCAGGATGAACGTCATGTGATTTATAGAGAAGATCTATTTCGTCTATTGGTATGTCGGGAATGACAGATTCAAGTTGGGATGGCATTGTAACAGTACTAGTGTACCACAGAGAGCATATCCACCAACAGCAGCGGAACATCCATCCACCAGTACATTCAAGGCGATAGATTTCCCCTTTTATTTGAAACTGAGATTTATGATTCATAGTTCCAATCCTTCGACCACCTGTGTTGAACTAACACTAGTATTTAATAATCCAAGAAACCAACAATGGAAGTTACAAGAACTCATATACCCCACCCTCACCCCCACCCCACCACCACCACCACCCCCACACTGTACAGTCGTCACCGAGCACACACGGGATCACTAAAGGGGCGTCACCCCCTCTCTATCACGCGGGCAGATAAACAGCTTTGTCTTCTGCATTGTAACCCCAGCAAGGAGGGGATCGAGTTTCACCCCGGAGTGTAGACTGAACTCTGTCCCGTGTACCGTTAGTCCATAGGATGTGTACACAAATACTTTCTACTCTCGTTTGGATTAAAAATATGAATTCTATGGCCCGTATGACACGCAGCTGCACCTCTATATGACTACAGACAGTATCCAGAGGCGTGGCTACTATAATTTGAATTAATGCACAGCAACACACACAAATGTTTTAATGAACTTATTTTACGAGTGTCTATAAAAATATTATTTTGAGTACAGCTACGTATTGCTGTGATTATTGTTAAGCAATTACAAAATCTGGTCCTCCAAATGCATTGTCCATAGCCTCAGCATAAGAAACTTGAATTTTAAGACAATTATATATATTCACGTTAAAGTTATTTGGAGTCGGAAAACTCCAGATGAGGGGGTTACAAAATTGATCCTACACGTACGATGTAAGAGATATACTAATTTTAAGAGTGCAATGATGAAGATCTTTAAGGAATTCTTTAACGAACTCAGAAAATCTTAACATAATTGTTAACGCCTTGCATTTCAAAGGTTATATAGTCTCTTTACAATAAAGCATTGTACGTGTCATATCTCAGTTAGTACCTATGTCGACATATGGCACGCTCAGAAACTATTCCTGAACACCATACCCTTATATCAGTATATATATTCAGATATATACCCCATAGAGTGTACATATACATACATACATGTGGCATTGATGTCCCTCATCCTCCAGCGTTCCCTCTCCGTCCACTCTCTCCCCGGGACATCTCATCACGCTCGCTATGTAACGCTAGCCTGAACTGGAGGGGTGTCTCGACCCACCCCGTTATATAGTTCCTCGCCACGACCGACCGTCACGTTAGTAATTTGGTCGTGCGCAGGAATACACACAACGTGGCTGCTCGACTCGATCGTGCAGCGACATGCATTCACTTCTCACGGCACAAAGCCAGGGCGCGTGTTTATAAAACGTCACGGATAATTAAGGCTGGTCGAAATGTTAATAAGTCTATCAGAAAGGCGAAAGGTGAAGCCGTTCTAATTAGACAGTGATACAGGCTGACATTGACTCGGGCCTAGCGATATACGATCTCTTTGACCTGCAGCGACATTGCATAAACAATGGAAGGATACTGTTCTCCCAAGAAAGAGAAAATGGGTTTATCATACATATTTGCGATAATTATCTTGAATTTTTCTCTTAAAATAAGAAAGTGTGTTTGGATACATTCCAGAGATTTACTGGCCTATTGTTGCTACATATAGGCTGCGTTATCTTGGAGCTAAGTGTCTTTGTCGCAGAAAAACTTGATACAATCAGGCAGATGTCTTCTTTTGATTTTTGAAGGGGCGTTGGCGGTGGGGAAGTCTAGTGGTTAAAGCGTTCGCTCACCACGTGGAAGGCCAGGGTTCGATTCCCCACATGGGTACAATGTGTGAAGCCCATTTCTGGTGTCCCCCGATGTTGGTTGGTTGGATGGTTTGTTGTTTAACGCCGCACTCAGCAATATTCCAGCTATATGACGGCGGTCTGTATACATAATCGAGTCTGGACCAGACAATCCAGTGATTGATAACATGAGCATCGATCCACGCAATTGGGATCGATGACATGCATCAACCAAGTCAGCGAGTCTGACCACCCGATCCCGTTAGTCGCCTTTTACGACAAGCATAGTCGCCTTTTACGACAAGTATGGGTTGCTGAAGACCTATTCTACCCCGGAATCTTCACGGGTCTGTCCCCCGATGTGATATTGCTGGAATATTGCTAAAAGCGGCGTAAAATCACACTCTCTCATTCTCTCTCTCACATAGAACAACTTAAAACTTACTTTATGTTGAACTTGCCTTTAAGTTGCAATGTCAGATCTCTTTTGCTGAATGTTGCGCTTTGGTTGTCTATATTTATTTGGTTTGCGGAATTCTTTAAAAAAAAAACACAAGTGGTCGACATAAACATATTTATTAATCCGACTTATAAAAGATGTCAAAGTAGACACAATGTAAGGATAACAACGTCTTTATTTACTGTACAGGCGGCGTTTCGGTACAGATTCTTATACCGCTGCCAAACAAGGGGAACGGCATAAGGATCTACACCGTAACGTCGCGTAAACAGTAACTAAAAAAGTTGTTATCCATAAGGGGCGGTCGGGTAGCCTAGTGGTTAAAGCGTTCGCTCGTCACGCCGAAGACCCGGGTTCGAATCCCGACATAGGTACAATGTGTGAAGCCCATTTCTGGTGTCCCCCGCCGTGATATTGCTGGAATATTGCTAAAAGCGGCGTAAAACCAAACCTACTCACTCACTCACTGTTATCCATAAATTGTGTTTCCTTTGTCATCCGTCAACTTCTAAGTAATGCCTATAAAAAAATTATAATAGGTGTTTTTTTTATAAAAGGTATTATCGGCCGGGCGATAGAAATAAATAAATAGCGATTCAGGGCAATATGACGTACATGGGTGACTTCCTCCTTCATGGCTTACCGTCAAGATGTTTTCATTTCTGAATTTATTAAACAGGCTCGGTTAGAAGAAAAATTTGAAGAATGTGAAGTTTGGGGTCGGTGGATGTGTTCATACGTAATTAAAACAAGCATCGATCCATGTGGCCGTCATAGTGCATAATACTGCAACACGTCTCATTCGAGGCCGACCTGATGGCAGGGTCAAGCATAACTTGAGATTCTGAAAATGTCGCCATTCACAAACACAAACTGTTTCGATCTAGTTTCGGGCCAGTAACTGAAACCGTTGTGCCCTGATTATGTATACTGAGAAGCACCCTCCTCCCCCTCCCTCTGCCATTAGACGAACTGACACGTCAGGCTGGCGGAATATTCCAGGACAGTGGTGAGCGTGTTCTCTAATGGCTACTTGCAGTGTTTTAGAGCCACCCAGACACAGATTAAGCCATTTAAAGCAGCTCATAAAATTACAAATCACTTCAAGGCGTGATTAACAAACTGCAGTCAGCATTACGCACTGTCCGTGACATGCAGCGTGGCGAGAGATGTGTGTGTCTCAATATGTATGTGGTCATGGACGTGTATTGTCTGACACGCATGACGGTCCTGGAATCGTCGCTTTGTATGGTGAAAGTAACTTCAGATTCCATACACAGTATAGGCCTGCCTCAGATAGTCCATATTTCATGTGAGCGTTCCGGGGTAGAATAGGTCTTCAGAAATCTATGCCGGCCGCAAGAGGCGACTAACGGTGATGCTCATGCTATCAATCATTGGCGTGTCTGGTCCAGGCGCGATTATTTGCAGAGCGCCGTCATATAGCTGGAATATTGCTGAGTGTGGCGCTAAGCAACAAACAAACAAATCACGTGAGCGGGTTTGTCTCAGAGTGGACTATTCGAGTCACACTTGCCCCTGTGACATTGATGAAAGAATCCTCAAAGTCGTTCAAAACACTCACTTACTCACGCATGGCATTAGTTTAGAGATGGATCGTTGATACATGACATTAGTTTAGAGGTGAATCGTTGATGCATGACATTAGTTTAGAGGTTTATCGTTGTTACAAGTTGTTAGTTTAGAGGTGAATCGTTGATGCATGACATTAGTTTAGAGGTGGATCGTTGATGCATGACATTAGTTTAGAGGTGGATCGTTGATGCATGACATTAGTTTAGAGGTGGATCGTTGTTACAAGACGTTAGTTTAGAGGTGGATCGTTGTTACGTGACATTCGTTTAGAGGTGGATCGTTGATACATGATACTAGTTTAGAGGTGGATCGTTGTTACGTGACATTTGATTAGAAGTGAGTCATTGTTACATGACATTAGTTTAGAGATTGATGGTATGATATTAGTTTAGAGGTGGATCGTTGATGTATGACATTAGTTTAAAGGTGGATCGTTCTTACTTGACGTTAATTTAGAGGTGAATCGTTGTTGCATGACATAAATTTAGAGGTGGATCTTTGATGCATGACATTTGTTTAGAAGTGAATCGTTGAAACATGACATTAGTTTAGAGGTGGATGGTTGATGCATGACATTAGTTTAGAGGTTGATCGTTAATACATGACATTACTTTAGAGGTGGATCGTTAATAGATGACATTAGTTTTGAGGTTGATCGTTAATACATGACGTTAGTTTAGAGGTGGAGCGTTGTTATATGACGTTAGTTTAGAGGTGGATCGTTGATACATGACATTAGTTTAGAGGTGGATCGTTAATACATGACGTTAGTTTAGAGGTTGATCGTTAATACATGACATTAGTTTAGAGGTGGATGGTTGATACATGACATTAGTTTAGAGGTTGATCGTTAATACATGACATTAGTTTAGAGGTGGATTGTTGATATATGACATTAGTTTAGAGGTGGATCGTTGATACATGACATTAGTTTAGAGGTGAATCGTTGATGCATGACATTAGTTTAGAGGTTTATCGTTGTTACAAGTTGTTAGTTTAGAGGTGAATCGTTGATATATGACATTAGTTTAGAGGTGGATTGTTGATATATGACGTTAGTTTAGAGGTTGATCGTTGATACATGACACTAGTTTAGAGGTGGATCGTTAATACATGACGTTAGTTTAGAGGTGGATTGTTGATACATGACATTAGTTTAGAGGTGGATGGTTGATACATGACATTAGTTTAGAGGTTGATCGTTGATACATGACATTAGTTTAGAGGTTGATCGTTAATAGATGACATTACTTTAGAGGTGGATCGTTAATAGATGACATTAGTTTTGAGGTTGATCGTTAATACATGACATTAGTTTAGAGGTGGATCGTTAATACATGACGTTAGTTTAGAGGTTGATCGTTAATAGATGACATTAGTTTAGAGGTGGATGGTTGATACATGACATTAGTTTAGAGGCTGATCGTTGATACATGACATTAGTTTAGAGGTGGATTGTTGATACATGACATTAGTTTAGAGGTGGATGGTTGATACATGACATTAGTTTAGAGGTTGATCGTTGATACATGACATTAGTTTAGAGGTGGATCGTTGATACATGACATTAGTTTAGAGGTGGATTGTTGATACATGACATTAGTTTAGAGGTTGATCGTTGATACATGACATTAGTTTAGAGGTGGATCGTTGATACATGACGTTAGTTTAGAGATGGATCGTTGATACATGACGTTAGTTTAGAGATGGATCGTTGATACATGACATTAGTTTAGAGGTGGATTGCTGATACATGACATTAGTTAAGAGGTTGATCGTTGATACATGACATTAGTTTAGAGGTGGATCGTTGATACATGACGTTAGTTTTGAGGTTGATCGTTGATATATGACGTTAGTTAAGAGATGGATCGTTGATATATGACGTTAGTTTAGAGATGGATCGTTGATAGATGACATTAGTTTAGAGTTGGATCGTTGATACATGACATTAGTTTAGAGGTTGATCGTTGATATACGACGTTAGTTTAGAGATGGATCGTTGATACATGACATTAGTTTAGAGATGTATTGTTGATACATGACATTAGTTTAGAGGTTGATCGTTAATACACGACATTAGTTTAGAGGTTGATCGTTGATATATGACGTTAGTTTAGAGGTGGATCGTTAATACATGACATTAGTTTTGAGGTGGATCGTTAATACATGACGTTAGTTTAGAGGTGGATCGTTAATACATGACATTAGTTCAGGGGTTGATCGTTAATACATGACATTAGTTTTGAGGTTGATCGTTAATACATGACGTTAGTTTAGAGGTTGATCGTTGATATATGACATTAGTTTAGAGATGGATTGTTGATACATGACATTAGTTTAG